TTTCTCAAGTTACAACCTTGACTTGCCAAAGATTTGCACTGCTGACAGAGATACCTTTCTGAAACCAAGATGTAATCATGCCATCCTCCTGTTTACAAATGTTTGGTCACCCCTCATCACCTTCAGGAAAAAGTCTTATTTTTGAGAACTATGCTAAAACATATCAGTCATAGCCTGGGAGTGTGAGCTCACCAGGGACACTGTCTTCCCTTTGCATCCCCAGTGTGGAGAGCAGTACCTGACACAGAGTAGGCACTCCACAAGTATTAACAAATAGTAGATGTCTGGTACATCTTTTTTGAATGAATTTTAGTCCATTGAGAGTTTACTAGTAAGATTCCAGAATCTCTCTGTCATCTGTAAACAACCAATTTAAATAGCCAACAACAAAAATGTCTGTATTTGGGTTTTAACATGCTATGCCATTGTGTTCAAAAAAGAAGTAATGGCATATAAATGCAATAACAGTGGGATTGACTGCAAGAAGTGCCAGAAAGAAGGAGGATCTATCTGCCAGGCACATGCCTGTAATCCCAGCACTTTGGGATGCTGAGGCGGGCAGATCTCTTGAGCTTAGGAGTTCGAGTCCAGCCTGGGCATCATGGTGAAACCCTGTCTCTGCTAAAAATACAAAAATTAGCTGGGCGTGGTAGCACATGCCTGTAGTCCCAGCTACTTGGGAGTCTGAGGCAGGAGAATTGCTTGAGCCCAGGAGGTTGAGGCCGTAGTGAACTATGATTGTGCCACTGTACTCTAGTCTGGGCAACAGAGTGAGACCCTGTCTAATAAAAAAAAAAAAAAAGAGAATCTAGTCTGTCTTGTCTATCTATATTCCACATTCTACAAGGATTTGTGGTAGCTCATACACAAAATATCACACTATAGTATGCTTCAAATCTGGCATGAAAGTTTCTGGCTACCAAGTTAAAGAGGGTGACTGAGTTATATAATTCTTATTGGAAAGGAGCAATCTTAACATTGAGCTCTAAAACAAATTTCCTACCTGTATGAGAGGTTTGAGTGATAGGGTGGACATTATACTGTATACTATTCCTATGGCAAATAAGATAATATTAATACTTTTTGACAGTGTTTTGTTTTTTTTTTTTGAGATGGAGTCTTACTCTGTCACCCAGGCTGGAGTGCAGTGGTGCATTTTTGGCTCACTGCAAACTCCGCCTCCCGGGTTCAAGAGATCTCCTTCCTCAGCCTCTGAAGTAGCTGGGATTATAGGCGCCTGCCATCACGCCCTGCTAATTTTTGTATTTTTAGTAGAGACGGAGTTTCACCATGTTGGCCAGGTTGGTCTCAAACCCCGGACCTCAGGTGATCCGCCCACCTCAGGCCCCCAAAGTGCTGGGATTACAGGCGTGAGCCATTACACCCGGCCTTTTTTTGACATTTTCTTATGAAATTCACCTGATAATAATGATAAGCCCAAGCTGGTGATGCCATTTCTATTCAGAGCTAAGATAATAATGGCCCGTCTATGTGGCCTTCTGTTCTTTAGCTTAATTTTAAGGGTAGAGCTCTTGGCCTTTTGACTGGTCCGTTAGAGCAGGCATTTTGGGATTGTGCTGTCACATGAGGGCCTGAACTGCTGTTTGCTGGGTGACTGGTTGAAGTAGTTGTCTATGCTACAGAGAAACTAAGTGAGAGTTGGTCTGAATGACATGATTTGGGGGAAATTAAGGTGTCTAAGTAGGCGAGTTCACTGGATAGAGATGGTAGGAGCACCTGCAGGCAAGACCAGAAACATCTTGATGTCTACGTTGATTAGAAAGTATGATCAGCTTTTCGTTCATTACGTATTAAGATTTAAATTTACTGCCAAGGGCGTGCTAAGATAGGCACTTTTGTATATTGCTAGTAGAAGTATAAATTGATAATAAACTTCTTGGAAAGCAATTTCGCAATATATTTCAAGAGCCTTAAAAACATTCATGCCATTTGACCTAGTACTTCTACTTCTGGGAAAATGTCCCAAGGAAATAATCCTTTTTTTAAAAAAAGGTCTAAGCCTCAAATTTTGAGTGTTATTTGTAATGCTTCATTACTTCATTTATAGTATCAAGAAATTTGAGGCAATTTAAATGTCCCACAGAAGGAGAATAAACAAACATGTTCACTCAAAGGAATATCATGATTTAAGCTAAAATCTTTTGAAGAAGAGAAGATAGAAAATTCTTAAAATGTTAAATGAGAAAAGCAAAAGACAATATAAACAGTAGAAGTTAAACTGTTTTAAAATATACTTAGAAGGCTGTTGAGAAATACACTAAATAATAAATATTTTTTGTGTGTGTGTGGATACTAAAGCATTTTTAAGAAAAACACTGTTGGCCAGGTGTGGCTCACTCACACCTGTAATCCCAGCACTTTGGGAGGCCGAGGCGGATGGATGACCTGAGGTCGGTAGTTCAAGACCAGCCTGGCCAATGTAGTGAAACTCTGCCTCTAACAAAAATACAAAAATTAGCCAGACATGGTGGTACATGCCTGTAATCCCTGCTACTTAGGAGGCTGAGGCACAAGAATTGCTTAAACCTGGGAGGCAGAGGTTGCAGTGAGCCAAGGTCATGCCACTGCACTCCAGCCTGGGCAACAGAACGAGACTGTCTCATAAAAAAAGAAAAAAAGAAAAGAAAAACACTGTTAATTTATGTATGGCATTTTTGAAAGGGAGACAAATACAAATTTATATTCCCTAGAGAAGGGTGATTTATAGTAGAGAGGGAATAATTAATAAACCTGTGTTCAGCTGAATTGCAGTTTTTGCCCCTAGACCTTCTAGTTCCATTTGTTTAAAGTTACTCTTAGCACCTGTAATCCCAGCACTTTGGGAGGCTGAGGTGGGCGGATCACGAGGTTAAGAGATCGAGACCATCCTGGCCAACATGGTGAAACCCCGTCTCTGCTAAAAACACAAAAATGAGCTGGGCATGGTGGTGCCTGCCTATAATCCCAGCTACTCGGGAGGCTGAGGTAGGAGAATCACTTGAACCCAGGAGGCAGAGATTGCAGTGAGCTAAAATCGCACCATTGCACTCCAGCCTGGGCAACAGGAGCAAAACTCTATTTAAAAATAAACAAATAAAAAGTTACTCTTGGCTGGGCATGGTGGCTCATGCCTGTAATCTTAGCATTCTGGGAGGCCAAGGCAGGAGAATTGTGTGAGCCTAGGTGTTCAAAACCAGCCTGGGCAACATAGCAAGACCTTGTCTCTACAAAACCTTTAAAAAAATTACCTGGGCATGATGGCGCACCTGTGGTCCCAGCTACTTGGGACGCTGAGGCGAGAGGATGGCCTGAGCCCAGGAGTGTGAGGCTGCAGTAAGAGATATGATGGCGTCATGTACTCCAACCTGGGTGACCTGGTCTCTTTTTTTTAAAAAAAAAAAAAGAAATCCTTTAATTCTCAGTTCTTTTATTTTTACTTTTTTTTTTTATTGTTGTTTGAAATCAAAGAAATCAAAGGCTCCCTCTATATGGGTGCTTTCCTTACAGGTGCCTAGGTAGTTATTGCTTCAACCTCATTAATACCCCTCTCCCAGCAAAATGAAACTTAACATGTTAATAAGCCAAATATAATTTTCAGAATAGGTCTGTTATAATAGAAATATGGAAGAGTACAATTCTGCCATTAAACATTATTTTACAAGAATAGCTTAAAACATAAGCCTTGTTTTGCAGTGTATGAGCTTTCGATCTTCTATATATATATATATATTTTTTTTTTTTAAAAAAAAGATTGGTTTCTAGAGGAAATCCACAGCTGCATATTGTCCCATCTAAGTGTGATCTGGCTAAATATATTCACTAAATGTTTGACTTACTGATTAGCTTTGTTAGCTGTATTACACAATTATATAACCAGGTTTTGTAATTCATTTATACATTTATTTGCGTATTTATTTACTTTTACTCATTTATTTATTTTGAAACAGGACCTCGTTCTGTCACCCATGCTGGATTGCAGTGGCACGATCACAGCTCACTGCAGCCTCAACCTCCCAAACTCAAGCAATCCTCTTGCCTTAGCCTCCCTAGATATAGGACTAGAGGTGTACGCTACCATGGTGAGGAGCAGTGGCTCACACCTGTAATCCCAGCACTTTGGGAGGCTGAAGTGGGTGGATCACCTGAGGTCAGGAGTTCAAGACCAGCCCAGCCAACATGGTGAAACCCTATTTCTACCAAAAATACAAAAACTTAGCCAGCCATGGTGGCATGTTCCCGTAGTCCTGGCTTCTTGGGAGACTGAGGTACAAGAATCACTTGAACCTGAGAGGTGGAGGTTGCAGTGAGCCGAGATTACACCACTGCACACCAGTCTGGGTGACAGAGTGAGACTCTGTCTCAAAAAACAAATAAATAAAATAATCAAAGGTGACTCCAGTGTTATAACTCGAGGACATTGGGAGGATAATTGTGCCAGGGCTTGTAATGAACAAGGTGATTTTAAAAATTAAAAAATATTTAAAAAATAGTCTTTTATATTGTTATGCTTGTTGGCAAAATATATAAAAGCTACCTAATTTAACCATTAGATAGTGTATCAAGTCTGATGTCCATGAGCTTCCAGCACTCATTAGACACGAATAGGATTGATTTCTCATCCTTTGTTGCCTATTTGTTTTGAAACCCATATTGTAAAATGAGTCTTATTTTAAAGATTAGGTAGTGCTTTTGCTTTCTCCATCTATACAGTAAGTGTAAAAAATACTGTACTTGGTCAGTGGTTTCTGAGAGGGTTAAGAAAGGCACCTGGATCCCATGGTTTTGTAATACCATTAAAAATATTATTGTTTTTAGGGAGAAAACTTTGTTTTAATACTGACTACATTGAAAACTTAGTCTGTATAGCAATATAGACACACCTTTCAGTTATTCAAGATCATTTTGGCTCTAAACATTTAAATTGTAATGTTTTAGAAAATGTATTATATATTGAAACTTAGTACAATACATTTATTTGTCCATCCTAAAATTTCTTTCAGGAATTGTTCCATCTTCTGTTGTCCTGACTTCTTTCCAGGTGATGTCAAGAGTTTTTCTAATATGGGCAGTAACACATAGCGTCAAAGAGGTAAGTGTTTATATAGACTAAAATAAAATAATGTCAACACTAACAAACACTAGTCAGCTTTTCTGATTCACATGTTTGTTATGGCTAAGGAGTTCCAGGTCAGAGTTCCAGGTCATATCAATATAGCTGAGATAAAGCTCACATTGACTGTAGGAACTGGGTTAATAGTAGAAAACATACCCCAGATATGCAGTGTTGTTAAAGAGAAGACTGATTAAATGGTGAAGTCCTATAATCCGAGTTCTCATGGAGGTTCAGATGGTGTGGATGTGGTCTGAAACTCAGTTATATTTTTCTGATATCTTGTTCGTATCTAGCACACTAAACTCTGGGCATCTGCATTTTTGTTTTGTTTTTGAGACGGCCTCTTGCTCTGTCACCCTGGCTGGAGTGCAGTGGTGCAATCACAGCTCACTGCAGCCTCAGCCTCCCAGACTTGAGCAATCCTCCCATCTCAGCCTCCCAAGTAGCTGGGACCACAGGCACGTGCCACCCCGTCCAGCTAATTTTTTTGTACTTTTTGTAGAGACAGGGTTTTATCATGTTGCCCAGGCTGCTCTCAAACTCCTGAGCTCAAGTGATCTGTCTGCCTCAGTCTCCCAAAATTCTAAGATTTCAGGCATGAGCCACCACACCTGGCCCAAGTCATCATTTTAAACCTATACAGTAGTTCCCTCTTATTCAAGGGGAATACACTCCAAAACCCCCACTGGATACCGGAAACCGTGGATAGCACACAACCCGATTGCTGCTGAAATACGTTTCTGTTTATGTCTTCCACCCACAAATGTAATGCCTTTTACATATTTACTAAGCATTTATCATGCCCTGTGGCCGCAACTTTTTTTTTTTTTTTTTTGAGACGGAGTCTCGCTCTGTCACCCAGGCTGGAGTGCAGTGGCCAGATCTCAGCTCACTGCAAGCTCTGCCTCCCGGGTTCACGCCATTCTCCGGCCTCAGCCTCCCGAGTAGCTGGGACTACAGGCGCCCGCCACCTCGCCCGGCTAGTTTTTTTGTATTTCTTAATAGAGACGGGGTTTCACCGTGTTAGCCAGGATGGTCTCGATCTCCTGACCTCGTGATCCGCCCATCTCGGCCTCCCAAAGGGCTGGGATTACAGGCTTGAGCCACTGTGCCCGGCCTGTGGCCGCAACTTTTGCAGTCTGAGGTTCACCAGCAAAACTAGCACAAATTTATTTTTCCTTCTTCACAATTTCACAGATAGAAGATTTGTTCCTACTGTAGGTCTTAGCAACTTCAGCATACAGTTTGTTTTGTTTCGTTATTAAGCTGAGAACTTTTACTGTCTCGCTTCAAGGAAGTTCTTTATGGCTTCTCTTTGGCGTATCTGAATTGCCAGCATCACTACTCTTGCATTTTGGGGCCGTTTTTAAATAAGGGTTACTTGAACACAAGCACTAATAACCAAGTTAGCTACTAAGTGATTACCGGGCCAGTAGCATATACAGTATGGATACACTGGACAAAGGGAAGATTTGTGTCCTAGGTGGGATAGATTGGGACAGCATGAGATTTCATCATGCTGCTGAGAACAGTGTACAACTTAAGAATTAAGAATTGTTTCTTTCTGGAATTTTCCATTTAATATTTTTGGACTGTGGTTGACTAGGTGTAACAGAAACTACAGAAAGTGAAACTCCAGATAAGCAAGGACTGTGATATTTCTTCCTCCCATACTTTTGTGTAGATACCATTTCCTTTTCATTTTAACCAACAACTCATAATTTTATCTTCCAATAGTCTCCAATGACCTAAAACTTCTTCCTAGTAGTAACTCATTTACATTCTTAAATAGGTAAGTATGTACTTTCAGTAATTAAGTGCTAGGTACATGAAGTCAAAATATTGTTCACTATGAAGTATCCAATCACTTTGCCAATATAGTCAGATATTGTCTGAGTGCTAATCCACCAATTGATAGATTCTTCGTGGGCTCTGCTTCCTCCGTTCCACTTAGTGACCACTCCTTGGCTTATGAGCACATCTGCCAAAGCAGGTAGACAGGTACATCAAAAATGCCTTACAACTCAAATCAAGCAATTCTATTAGTCAAGTTTTTGTTAGCAACATTTGCCAGGATTTCCTGGGTAGATCATTGAAACTGGTTGGCTTGCAAAGCTATTAAATGTCTCTGTAGGTACAGGGACCTGGTGTCATCCTCCACAGCCACACTGCCTGCCAGATGCAAAGGACTTAACACATAACAGACGGTTTCATATACATTATCACATTTGAGTTTTACAGTAATTTGTTATGTACTCATTACATTTGCGTATTCAGAATTGTTTCTCTGCAACCAGAGTGACTCAGTTTCTGCTAACATTAACATATCATTTTATTTACCTGCTTAAAAAAAAGAAAAAGAAAAGGCATATCATTTTCTGAAGAATTTAGTACAGTATATTTTATTGTCTTCCCATCGTCTCTTGGATCCTCTTGTTTTTACATATGCACTGTTGATGACTTACTCTTCTCATTGTAATTGGACTTCAGCTTTTCTGCTGTCTTAGGATCATAGTTCTTTTCTCCTCATTCTCTTTTTCTTTGCACAGAACTCCTCATTCATGGTTTTGTTTAGAGCAGTAGGTGCCCTCCATCCCTGCCCTGTGTCTTCAACAGCTAACGTGAAAAGCCTGTTGCTGTGGCCCCTCAGAGGCCAGTGCTTACTATCTGTCACCTTGAAAAGCCTGTTGCTGTGGCCCCTCAGAGGCCAGTGCTTGCTATCTGTCACCTGTTCCCTGGCCCCTTCTCTTGGCCAAATGCTATTTTTCCTGCCTTGGAATTTCATATTAGCTATAATTCAATTTGTTCTGTACAACATCACATATGACTTCTATTCTTCGATTTCCTGAAGCATCTTAAAAATATCTTTATTTTCCTTAATATTCAGCTCTGCTTACTTTAATGGTGGGAACTGTATAATTAATGCATAAGGAAATTGACCTTAGAAATAACTGCTTAATCACATATATCTCGCTTTCTTGTAGTAATGTTCAAATTATTTTCACACTACTATCATTTCTTAGTTTCTTTTTACATCATATTCCCCTCTAAAGTGAACAAGAATTCTTCACTTTAATCACATTGCATGTGAATTTGGACTCCTGCTCCACCCCGCTGCCCTGCCCACTTTCTTTGCTCATTTCCCTTGTTTTTCTGTACCTGTACATGATGTGCTAGGGTGTAGCCTATATAACTTTTTCAGACTAGACTGTACTTTTTTCACATGAGGTGTATTTCCTTTTAAGAAGCCCTATGGGCTGGGCGTGGTGGCTCACGCCTGTAATCCCAGCACTTTGGGAGGCGGAGGCAGGTGGATCATGAGGTTAGGAGATCGAGACCATCCTGGCTAACACAGTGAAACCCTGTCTCTACTAAAAATACAAAAAATTAGCCGGGCGTGGTGGCGGGCGCCTGTAGTACGGCACTGGCGGGCGCCAGCTACTCGGGAGGCTGAGGCAGGAGAATGGCATGAACCCAGGAGGCGGAGCTTGCAGTGAGCCGAGACCGCACCACTGTACTCCAGCCTGGGTGACAGAGCGAGACTCCGTCTCAAAAAAAAAAAAAAAGAAGCTCTATGGGACATGCATCATTGATTGCCATTTTAATTCTCTACGCAGTGGAATGCTAGTCACATAAATGTCATCATGTACATTGTGAAACTAAAAAGTGATCCGATGGTGTTCTCTTATGACGTATAAGGATCCACCCATCAACTAGTGTGATACCTTGATCAGCAGGATATTAATGAAAAAATTTGAATCAATACACAGAAGCAAGAAAAGAAAAAAAGAATTGTGATCTGTATGCTCAAATGCTTTTCCTTGACCTAACATAGCTAATAACCCATCCACCTTTTTCCTTTCCAAGAGACCACATAGATGAACAAACAGAAGCTCTGGCAAAACAAGTCAGCTGTGTCCCGCCCCCTTCTGGCTTGATGCTGGGCTTTGTGACACTGAATTAACCATTCTTACCAACTTTTCAGCAGGATGCTTACAAAAATCTTGTAATTAGTGTTTAAGAAAGTAACCTCCAGTTTTTTATAATAGTATTGGTTTTTGTTTGATATGTTATAGTTTACAGAGGGCTTTATTAAAGTATGTTATGATCATTCTCTCTTAACAACCATGCCTTGAGATAGGTAGGTTGTAGCCTCCATTTAGAGTTTGGAAGCTACAGCAGCAAAGTGACTATTGCACACCCAACAAATGGCAGCGTCAGGATTGGATTCTAAATCCCAGGTCTTTCTGCTGCATCAGAGCTGCCACCTTCTCACCCTTTAAAAACATGATGATGGCCGGGCACAGTGGCTCACACCTGTGATCTCAGCATTTTGGGAGGCTGAGGCAGGAGTTCAATGCCAGCCTGGGCAACATAATGAGACCTCATCTCTACAAAACAAGAAAAAGAAAACCTGACGTAAACATGATGTTTTAAACTGTTGTTGTGCTGACTTCTCTTACTCCCCTATGGAGTGGAAAATGCCTGCATAAGATCCATAGGTGCTTTTCCTCCTCAGCAGTTCCACCATGCCATATTCATATTAGGATATGATTCTCCTGCTAAATTATTGGTACATCAGATGTACACATCAATTGTGGGCCCTAGGTGCTTATCTGCAACACATTGCTTCTCTGTTTTTTTACTGCTCAAGTGCTCTGAGATGAATCCTTCCAATTAGTCTTTCTCCTTAAAAGTTCTAAGACTCTTTCTCAAACTAGGATGTATGCGCTATTTGGACCAGAATTACCCAGAGAGCTTATTAAAAACGCATATTGCAGGACCCACCTTACACTTGATACAGAATGTCTGGGAGTGGGACCAGGGAATCTGAATATTTATTAGGCTTCTCAAATAATTTTAAGAATTCCAAGGTTTGAGAAATGATCTAAGATACCTATGTGTTGTGCTGTAATTTTTGTGACATTCCCTTCTTGATTTTAATTTACTTTTCTACTTAGTTGACTTGAAGCCTA